ATAAATCTCATAGTTAGAGTTGGTCCAGTTCTGTCTTAGATCTGCTCTTAGTTCTGCTGCTATAGGTCTAGAATGTCGAGGGACACATGACACATGGAGCTTCTCTTTCCTCATCTCCCTTCTTATCACATCAAATAAATTAATGTCTCATCAATACATGTTACTGACTTGACTTCTTCTCCAGAGTCCTTCTGCTTTATCTTTTGGAGATCCAGGGCCGCCACTGCAGCCACATCGTAGATTATGATGGTGGATCGCGAATCAGAGATCGTGATCTTAATGGTGGATCTTGTATCGTGCTGGCATCTGATCGTAGTGGTGGACCATGATCGTGGTGGCAGCTGATGGTGGACTATGACTACAACAAGACTGCTTGCTTGATATTCAATATGTCTCCTGAGATATTCTACCATTACTGACAACAATTCCTAAATTAATTTACTTTCCATCATGATTCAAACTATTTACTCTAACCAATGATGTAATTACTCTTATTGTTCTGACGTTCTCCATTACACTTGGCATCTACTGCACTTCTGTCCGTCCTGGGAGAGGGATCCCTCACATGTGATTCTCTATAAGGTTTCTATGTTCTTTTTTCCTGTTAAAAGTGTTTTTTAGTAGTTTTTCCTTACTCTTGTTGAGGGTTAAGGGCCGAATATGTCACACCTTGTTAAAGACCTATGAGACAAATTGTGATTTGTGAATATGGGCTTTACAAATACAATTTGATTGATTGATTGATTCATCTATGATGGTTGAGGTACCTGAGTGCTATATCACTTTAAATAAAATTACTATCACCTGACAATTATAAGAGGGATGTAGGCCAAAAATAACAATAAAAAAAAAACTAATAAATCAACAATGCAACTGTAAAATTAGATTCTAAAACCTGATGAGGGTAATATAATTATTTTGTGGGAGTATATGTAGTGTCGTCAATAACACAAATATCAGGGCAATCTTACACATATAGCTCTTCTAGATATATATGTTATAGATAAAGAAATGACAGGTTTGTAACTTATGTCTTATGATATCAGCATATGTGATCAAATGTATCAACTGAATCTTAATATGTAATAATTCACCTCCTCTCAGGGGATGATATAATATCGGCATCCTGTCACTGGCCCATGCTCCAGGCCTGCTGCACTGCTCTCTGTCTGCCTGACAACTGCACTGCAGTGCCAGGTTACATAACGGCCTGTGTGTGCATGTGTAGGGTTTAGATGCAGCGCACCACAAATGATGCAATTGAATGTTCTTTTTGAGCATCATGGCGGCATTTTCCATTCAGATTATATCATGGATTTCTGTAAATATGTCAGATTACACCAAGGCCTGTACCTCTGCAGTCCAGCAGAATCCACTGTCAAGACTGTAGTGAAACCAGTTTGTGAATTTTTGAGCTCTGCTGTTTTGAATATGTGCTTATCAGAATTGTTTGTTCTACAGAAATCAGATCTATGTGACTGGGGTTGATGGTTTGAGTCCTAAAGGGAAATGTCCAGTAGCTCTGCGACCACCAGATATTTTCCGTTGAGCAGTGCAGCAGGTTGCAGGTTGAGGACAGTGTGTATCTACTATGGACTGGAGGTAGAAGAGGTACAAACAGGGGCTGCAGGACACAAGTGAACACTCAACATTTGAATCTAACAAGCGAGCTTCTCCCTTCCTCTGCTTCGGGTCCCGCTTTACTCGGGTTATTACGGTAGCAGGCCCCGGTCTGCTGCATGTCCCCGCCCCTCCGCCCCTCCGCCGTTGACAGCACAGACTGCGAAGGTTCGTCTGTGCTGGTCTGTTCTCCTGTTCTCCTTGCTGCTGTGACGGACTGACACACAACGGACAGGTGAACGCCACTGACATTTACCATTGTGCCGCGTTAGCATGAGCAGCTGTGTCTCCAGCTTCAGCTCCGTGGGGTCTGAGGAGAAGTGGCGAGCTGCGTTAGCTACGTGACTGGAGTTGAGCCGAGCGTTGCCCTGTCTGTTTTCCGCCCTCGTGCTAAACACTCCCGCTTGGTGAGAATTTCAAAATGCGTCGCTCGTGTCTTTTTTACCGGGGCTCACGTCCCACATGCAGCCATTGATTCTAGCGTCGGACACAGTAACTGACTGTCTGTGTCCAACTTGACGGCACCGCCCACCTCAGTGCTCTCTGTCGGCGGGCGCCTGTGTAAGAACCAAGCTCGATCGTGTTGTTTGATGGAAAAGAAGACGCCATTGTTGTTATTGTGAAATTGTATGTGTGCCGAATGATTGAGTGGTCACTAACGATTCCATTTGGGTTCGCTCGATGTTTTACAGAGAGTAAGGGTCTGCTAGTGAGCGAGACAACTTTAAAACGTCACTCTATTGAACGGAAATCGCTTTGCAGGTGCATCACCCCTGCAATCCTCCACCGTCACCTCGGTGAGATCCCACCGTGCACTGTGTTTCTGTCGGCGTGGACACGAAGTTCCAGGCAGGGTGAGCAGTGGAGGGAAGAGTTTTATAAATAGTGTGACATTAAGGGCTGGATGCCTGACCTTGTCCTGGTCCGACTGAAGCCCTGCGCAGACTCACAGGGGCTCAGGGGTTCACTGAGTCTGGATGAATCCCCTCCTGTTGCTGTAGAACTGAACCCAGAGGTCACACTGAGATGTGTGTGAGTACAGTTACTGTACTGATACCTCTGTGCTCTAAATACACTCCTCTCAAGCCTCTAGGAGTCCACTGAGTTCATATATTGCACATGCAGTTTAATTGCACTTTCATGTGGTTTCTGCTGGAAATAAAAGCTACTAGTGCAGTGGCTGTTCCAAACCTGCCTGTTTCAATGGTCTGTTTGCTTGGCCTGTGGTAACACTCTATAGAGTCTGATTCTGTTTATTATGTCCTGTCTTGTAAATCATGTTGTGTAACTAATTTAGATTCATCTGAAAGTCAGTTTTAGACCTTGACAATCAGACAGTCTCTTAAAATCAATTTCCTTCTGTTATATATTGCGCAATGTAAGGTATGAAACAATACAAACAGGTTTTTTTACCTTCAAATTAAAATAGTGGCATGACACTGTAAAAATACTGCATTCAAAAGTCTTAGAAATATAAGCAGGATTTAAAAATAGCAAATCCAAAGTCTCATTTTGCTAAATGGTTGTTGTCAGAACGTTGTATGCTTGTATAAAGCCTAATATATCATTTGTTATTGTAAACACACATTTTACACACCTAAAAGTATTCGGACCAACTTCCTCATGCTGTGTCACAACGGTTTTCACAACATCTGTATCAACACACAAAGAAAACGATACAAGCACTATGAATAAATAAATAGAACAAACAACAAACAAATCACACACACAATAAAACCCAAACGTCAATAAAAAGCATACATTTATAATAATAAACAAAAACTAAATCCCAAATCTTCAATGTCATACAAATATAAAAGAAATGTATATATATATATAATATATTAGAAAATAGAGACTGATGTATTATGATTCTCTGTTTTAGCGATTCAAATTATTTTCCATTTATTATATACAATTCCAAAATAAAGAAGCATTTGAGAAACTTGACATTCAGTGAATCCACCTGCTAAGCTTGTATATAAAGCCAACCCTCTTTCTGACTAAATAATACAATTAAACAACCAGCTCAACTGTTTGTTTTGGAAGTTCAGCTCCTGCATCTGACCCAGTAATGTCCACAGTCTTTATGATAAGCTATGTAGCCATGTAGTGATGTGCAAAAACTGCATGGAAGAGTTCAGCCTTGATTTATTTTTATTTTTTTATATACAGACTGAATAATGTCAACATACTGCCAATGCATCACAGTGTGGCAGTGAATTCACAGAATCCAGACCCTCATCATTGAGAGATATGATAATCTGGGAGCTAAATATAGTTTTTTGAGTGGTTGATTTAAAAATACCTGTGGTAGATAAATCTTTTTAAAGCATTCTTTTCTCTGTACAGGGGGCCAGGGATCAGTGAACTTCGAGGAGATCTCCACAAGATGTTACCTCAGCACCTGAAGCAGATCAGAGTACTAATGCTCAACGACAAGGAAAATTTGGAGAGGTCTCTGTTCAGACTTGAACAAGGTGAGGCTCCTTTTAAACAACAGTCTTCCACTTAACTAAAGTCTCCTTTAGTATTCAAAAACAAGAGACTCCTGGCCAAGTGGCAAAATGATTTACTACCAACTATAAGATGTCACCAAACACAGTGTATGTCTGGTGGTGTTTCCTTGGGTCTTTAAAGCAGCAGAGCTGTTTGGGTGTATGAGTGTTAAAAATATTCACACTTCACAACACATTGCTCTGCAATGATGTTGCCAATAGTGACTATACCAGGCAATGTTAATGAGGGAACAAACAAAGAAACTGTAAAAAGAGTGAATGAACCTTATCACCATCTCTAGAATAAATTCCAATTCATTTCACTTTTATCTATGCAGCACCAAATCACAACATTTAAAATGAAACATACCGCCCCAACCTTTTCTGGTTTGGGGTTGTATCAAACAGACCACACACAGCACCTCCCATAAGAAGGCCAATTGATACATTTGGGGCCCAAGATAGAAGGAGATCATTTTGCACGTGCAGTTCAGTTCTTTGAGTGATTGGACTGAAAATTTGAAATTGATAAAAAGATTGCAAGTCAGCGCTGACTGAGAAAATGACAACATATACATTTGTGGAGTCATTAGCTTCCTTAGTCTCCAGGACTTATTACACAAGAAGGTCCATGAGGACATGGTGGTAACACTAAGGCAGAAGACTTCTTTTTTAAGAAGTGGGCTGCTGATTTCAAACATAGCAGAGAGAGCATGGTAGATGACCCCTGTCCTGGAAGGCTGGTCACTGTCTGTAGGAACAAGACACAGACAAAGTTCTGTGACCACTGAACTAAATATTGGATAGAGGACTGTAAATAAATGTTCAAGGTTTTCCAAAAAGGACAACTTCTACCTCAGGTCAGGAACCTATCACTGAGCTTTTGTGCACTACCTCGATTTATCTTGTGTTCTATGCACTCAGTGAATGCAGTCTCTTACTCCTTCACTGTAACTAAATATATTTCCGTCTGTACTTGTACACACTTCCACCACTATTTTTGTTATATATTGCATCAATACCAACAACAGCATGTGTGTACGCGTATGCCACAGTCAAAACCTTTTTGTCTCCTCAGGTTTTGAGCTGCAGTTCCGCCTGGGTCCGAGTCTTCAGGGTAGGAGTGTTCATGTGTACACCAACTATCCAATCGGAGGACAGCGTTTTGAACGAAATAAATTCCATGTTTTGGAATGGAACTACCCAACAGGAAGAGAGGATGACTCAGATAAATTCTGCTCTCTAGACCTTAAGACTGCTGGGTCCTATCAGTACTACTTTGGATATGGGTAAGTTCTGATAACGGAACATTAATTTATTAGCATGTTGGGCTACAAACGGCTACCAACACACACCAACAGAAAGTTTGTTTCTTTTCTAAACTAAAAAGAATATTGCTCAGTTTTAAGTTGACCAAACAGAGATTTTTCATTTGTGGAAAGTCTGGTTTTGATTCTTTTTACAAATCATGTTTGTTTCTCTTCAATATTAATTCCATTTTACGTACAATGGTGTTGTTTCAGGTCATTGTACTCGTCAATAGATCAGTGACTCCTTGCTGTGTAAAATCGACTTGCAGCTTTTTTTTACCCAGGATCCTGATTTGATGTGTACAAGAGGGGAGAATATTACATTAGGGAAAGCAAGGGAAATATTTTTGACAGTTGCATATATCTGGCTTCACCGATGACTCTGAACCCAGTTTGTTTCTGCATTGTGTTGGTTAGAAATGAACATACAATGGCCCAAGGATCTCATTGGAGTGAATTTACAAGAGGAACCTTTACTTTATGGATGCGCAGGGGAACCATACTCAGTGTGGAGGCCTTTCTTTAAGCGTTAACTGTAATGTTATAGGCTTTGTTTACTTATATGAACAAAAGGTTAGTGTACACATGAACTGATTACAGCTGCTGTGTATTGATTTGCACACTGGGTTCAGGCAGTTCTGCACGACCCTGTGGCATAATGATGTCTAAACATGATAAAAACAATATATATGTATTGGCCCTTCATCCAGGTCCCTCTGTTAAGTTCAGGACGCTCATGATATCCTCTGCTATGTCTTTCTATCTGAAATATTTGTTGAAGTTTTAGTGTACTCTGTGACCCTGTCTTTATTGCGGATACTAGCTATTAAGAGGTGAAAAAAAGCAATTTCACTCACTATCATGTACAACTACCGACTTGACTTTGTCTCTTGCAGAGACAAAGAGCAGTCAGGAGGAGGATACATTGTGGTTGATCCTGTTCTTCGAGTTGGAGCAGAGAATCAAATCCTGCCATTGGACTGCATCACCATCCAGACCTACTTGTCCAAATGTCTGGGACACTTAAATGACTGGACAGATAGACTCAGAGTTGCCCATGAGTCAGGTGTGTGTATTGTTTTTAATTTTTCTTCAGAAGTTGCAGATGTATCATGTCTGAGTCATAGCCTAAATCCAGCAGGAAGTCAACCATTTTAAATGTAGTAGTTATTTTTGGCAATCTACTGCCATTGTACGTCAACAAAGTCTCTTTATCAAACAGATGCATGACAAAAAGTGTTTTAAAAGAGGGGGGTTTGAAGGGTGTGTGTTTTTGTGTGACCTTGAATTTTTAAGTGTCACATATATATTAAAAATCCCAAGCCCGAAGACAATATTCGCTGTACTTGTATTCCAATATTATATTCAATTCAATTCAATTTTATTTGTATAGCACCAAATCATATGCATGATCTCAAGGCACTTTACATAGAAGGCCTTAAAATCGTATTATGATAGAGAAACCCAACAGTTCCCACAATGAGCAGCACTTTGGCGACTGTGGAGAGGAAAAACTCCCTCGTTAACAAGGAGATGTTATAAACCAACATTCAACGTACAGTATTACATAAATTAGCCCTTATCAGGGAGTCACAGGGAGTATGGGGTGTTTCCCACCATACAGAATAATCATTATAGTTCATTTTTCTTCCAGGATACACCATGATCCACCTCACTCCTCTGCAGACTCTTGGAGAGTCCAGGTCCTGTTACTCTTTAGCCGACCAGCTGACCTTTAGCACTGAGTTCAGCCCAGAAGGTCAGAGGTACACCTGGTCAGATGTGGGGGCGCTGGTGGAGAAGTTCAGGAGAGAATGGAACATGCTCTGTATTACCGATGTGGTGTATAATCATACTGGTCAGTATGTTAATGTATAGTTATGTGTGTCTTCTCTTCTTTTTCAACATGTACAGATCCAGAATGAAAGAACTATACATAACAAAGCAGAAAGTCTTAAGCCATTTTCAGACATGAACTTCAGCAAATATGTGTCTGGACTTTGTCCGGGGTTTGTGTCCTCTATGTGTATTGCACAACTTTTTTATCTTGAGATAGTTGTGTTCTATTTGTTTTTTCAGTTTTTTGTCCATCATGTGTTAGAAACATCATCAACACGCCCACTTGCTCGCAGTGAAACCTGCGGAGGAGCCCCTCCAGAGAATGTCAGGAGATTATCTGGAGTTTAGTGCATGTCTGAAAACAGCTATAGAAAAGCAAAAAATAAAAGGACAGTGCAGCTCTGTACTGTAAGTGCTTTCCTATATTAGGACTATGTGCTTGGTGTGTATCCATCTGCCCTCACCACCTCATCCTCCCTGAAAGGTCAACCAGTAAAATGAGCCTGATTTAAAGGTTAAAGAGAGACTAAGGGCTTTTTTTACCCTTGACTACATATCAAAGTGATCCTGAAGTCCCACAAAAATTCAATTCTCACCGAGAGTGAGAGAGTAAATAACTTTTATTTAATATGATAGTCCTTACTAAACTATTTAGACGAGTCTCGTTCATAATCTGCTGCTGAGTATATTATAAATTGTATAGCATTTGTTTAGGGTTTTTCTCATATAATAAATAAAATAAATACATAGTTTACCAAAACACAAGTTGACTTAGATTGATAAATTATAGTAAGACCATGCAGCATGTTGCTCACTACAAAACTTACCTTAAGCATCTTTGTTGAAATGTGCTGATCTTCATTTTTGAGTGAATTAATGTCAGTCATAAATGAGGTTCATTCTACATTCAGTATTTAATCTTTGGCTCATTGTCACTATAATTGCCAACAATTTAAAAAAATCGCTCTCAGCACTGTCCCATCACACTTAATGTTTAATAACATGTTGAACGAAGACAGTAAATTATTTGTTTCTCCTTCTTTACAGCTGCTAACAGTGTTTGGATCAGAGAGCATCCTGAGTGTGGTTACAACCTGGTGAACTCTCCACACCTGCGTCCAGCCTGGGTCTTAGACAGAGCTATCTTTCATATAACCACCAGAGTAGCAGAGGGCCGCTACAAGGCTAAAGGCCTCCCTGCTGATATTACCAATGAGAGCCAAGTGAATGTAAGCACACACAGCTCAGCCACACACTGCACATGTTGTGCAGACTATGCAAACAGAGGATGGGACTCACGTCATGACTGGCCTAAGGGTCCGCTCTCAGGGGCTCTCTAAGCTCTCAGGAGGTAGAGTGGGTTGTCCACTAACCAGAAGGCTGCTGGTTTGATCCTGGGTCCTCCAGTCTGCCTTCTAAAGTCCATGTGTGCAAACAGAAAAAGTGCAGCATATAGTAACACTGTATGAATGAGTGGGTGGATGTGATTTGTACTATAAAGCACTTTGAGTGGTCAATAACACTAGAAAAGCTCTGTATAAACACAGACTTTATTGACTGAGCTGTAAGGATTAACATGTGGCATTGACAGCATTCATTAATCTTAGCATCATGCTGTGCCACTGGGATGTAATGAAAACCCTAATATTACATTTTGCTTTAAAACCTTTAAAAAAAAATTATGTTTTTCACAGATGTGAAAAATGACATTTAGATAATTTGTTGTTACACTCAATAAGGAAACCAAGTTTTTTCCAGCCTGTGACTTGAAACGTGTTTTTCTGTATTGGTAAATTCAGATAGTGACATGAATGATTGACACAAGTAAAGCCTGAGGGGGTGTAATGTCAAATCACAGTGAGAAACCATATCAGTTCAGTTCAACTCACTTATTGACTGAACTGTGTGCTCTCAGCAGGAAGCCAGACTACCTGATATGTACATTCAGATCACTGGAATGACATTATTGTGTAATGACTGTTTACTTACTTATCTGTACACATGTGCAACCTTATGGAACAAGAGTGTTTGCCAAATTCTTTTGTTGTATTGCTAATGTGAAATGTCGTTTTATTCATCAGCATTGATACAGTGATAGTGACAGTGATAGTCATACATATTTATTTATTGACACTATATATGATCGTGTATGTGTTTGCTTCTCTCTCTCTCTGTATGTTAATTTGTGTGTACCAGGCCATCCGCAGCGTGCTGTGGGAGGACGTGTATCCTCAAATCAAACTGTGGGAGTTCTTCCAGGTCAAAGTGAGCAGTGCTGTGGAGAAGTTCAGAATCCTTCTGCAGAATGGTATGTAAAGATCAGTATGGGATTGTTTAGTATTAGAGCAAAAAAGTGCTGCCAATAGATGCACTTTATGAATGTGTGTGTGATTGGCAAACTGTACTGTAAAGCGCTGTGAGTGGTCATCAAGACTAAAGCGCTATATAAATACAACCTATTTACAATTTAGGTAAAACAGTGCACACTTTCAAATGGTTGCGGAAAGTTGTTGGCATGTCAACAGAGCAACAGCAGCCTCAGTGTCTGCATCAGAGCTCATTTAGCCTGAGCACACCGTGCGCATGTACTGCTGAAGTTTTATGATGTTAAAATTACTTGTATGAAACTGAAAAAGTCAACTTGAAGAGTTCAAATAAGCTCAGCTCAAAATCCCAAACCTCTACAGTTAGGAACTTTTGTTTTAATGAAATGCCAAACCTCTGTCAGTTTCCCAACTCAGAACTCTACAATATTAATTCAGATTCTGGCATATTTATCTGTTATTGAGGAATATCCAGTGTGTTGCTCTGATCTGACAGACACACTTTTACATGTGTTGTTGCCAATTTACTAAAGGAATTCAGCACATTGATAAACTAGACATCAGTTCAGTTCAGTGTGTCAGTAACACATGATCGTGGCCAAGCTGCTGGTCTGCTGATACGTTTACTTAAAGTGCACTTAATGTAAATATGCTGTGCATGTATTTGTGTTCAGGCACCAAGCCAGACCATAGTAAGACTGGAGGGAAGAAGGGCCTCAAGATCATCCAGGACCCACAGTACCGTCGTTATGGTAACACAGTGGACATGGACTCTGCCCTGGAGACATTTGTACCTCACAGGTCAGATTCTCAACCTCAAGCCGTTGTTATTGTTGTTTGAGTGCTTTCATGGATACACGTGTACTGATTTGAAACAAGTCAAGTCTCCCTTTCTTAACTATGGATGAATGTTGATAAGACAATAATGTTGCACAACACTATGAATGTTTGAATTTTGGTTTTATTTTATATCCTTTTTATTCACTTGTTGTTAACATGTAGCTTTTTCACTGTTGTTTTATTTAAACCTTGTTAACAGTCTCTCTGAGCCTTTGTTTAAGATTGTAGATTCCTGCTTGATGAATCCATTCAGCCAGGTTTTACTTTTAACTCTCTCAGCTCCACTCTCCTCCCCTTCTAATGTGTGACACTGTTGTCCTGCTTGGCAATGACACAAACATAGATGTTCAATGGGTGACCCAGCTCAGGCCCCTCTACAAGGATATTGAGCAGAAAACCAGTTGGATAAATTAGGCAGCTAGGGTGGAAAAGAGTTTAACTAGATTCATGACAAACATAATCATTCAGACTACAGGCTAGACAGCTTTCCTTTTTTTAGCGTTAGGGAGTTTAAGACATGTCTCCTGCAGAAAAAACAGATCAAACTATCGCTTTTCTACATGTTTGTTGAACAGGTGGTTTTATTAAGTTTATTCTTCACCTGGTTCACTGCGTCTATTCCACTGCTGCATCACCTCTCTGACTGTGTGTGACTGTGTGTGCGTTTGTGTGTGTGTGTGTGTGTATGAGTGTGTGAACGTGTGTGTGTGAGTGTGTGCATGCATGCTCGTGTGTGCATGTGTGTCTGCATATGCAGCCCTTCCTCAGCAAGAGACAGAGAATCAGAGCAAACAAGAGTGGATCATAACAAGGCTTTTTTATTACAACATGATCAATTATACAAATCAAACATGGAATTAAAGCATACAAGGGGTCTTCATGAAATAACAGGCTTAACTTCAAGGAGTAGTCGGCTGTTTCACCGCCGGTGCTTGTAGAAATCACTCACCCAGCTTGGGCTGATAAGATCCAAACTTTGGTGGAACTCCTCTCTCCCTCAATACACTGCAAGGCTCTGAACAAAGACAGGGCTACTACACCCTACACCCCTCCACTGGCAAGACTTGCTCACAGTCAACTACTGTGTACTAGTATAACTTCTTACTTCTGGTACAAGTGTGAACAGGTTCAGCAGAACAGACACTTCCAATTTAAGATATTATACTAAACTGTTTCTGTGTACAGTTATGCACATTATGTAAACATAGATGAATGAAGAACTCTGTTGAATGCTTCATGTTATCTCTCCCTTATAGCTCCTCCCCACAGCACATTGAGGAGTGCTGTAACTGGCTGACACAGAAGCTGAATCAGCTGAATGGAGAGCAGAACCACATCATTCAGCAACATCAGGAGCAGGTGAGGTGCTTTGAAACGTGGCACAAGACAGAACTGTAATTAGAAGTAACAGCAAAATATGACTGAGCACTATAGGGGTCAGAGAGCAACTGTGTGAGTGGACATGGCAGCAAGCTGGAGCCATCGTGTTTTTCATATTATTATTCTTCTCTCTCCCTCCAGGCCGCCAACTGCATTGTGGGAAATGTAGTGTATGAGCGTCTCGCCGACCATGGCCCAAAGCTGGGTCCTGTTTGCAGGAAGAACCCTCTGGTGACCAGGTAATGCTTTTAAAGGTGATTCTGGAGAGAGATTAAAAAGAAAGAGCTGAATGGCTGGGAGTTAGAAAGGAAGGGCTCAAGACATTGAGAATAAAGGTTCCTCAAATTTACTATTTACTATGAAATGCCTGTTGGAGAAAATTGGCCTTGTAGTGTCGAGTTACTGTGGGTGTGTGCCAGGTGGAAGTGTTGGATAAATGGTGGTGGATGAAAAAAACACATTTTTATATTTATTTTGTATTTTGTTTGGAAATTTCAGCTCGAGTATCAAACAAAAATGTCGAGAAGAAAATAGAAAGAGAAATAAAGCAATCGCTGAGCTGCAGTCCACACAATGAAAAGTTCTTGGATTGAGCATTGACACAGATAGGAATTAGGGAATAAGGCATTGTTGCATCAAGGGATTAGCAAAGCCCAAGATGGTTGTAATTAGTATTAGGAAAGACAGACAATGAAGAATGGCAATGAGAGCTGCCAGGCACTGACAGTGCTGTGGAACATTAAAGTTATGTTGGTGTTGAGCAAATATATTTTAAAATTGTGTTCGTATAGCCCACATTCACAGTTTACCTCATAGGGCTTAACGGTCTTTACAAGGTCATCAGCGTCCTCTGTTCTTAACCCTCATTCACGGTGAGGAGAACCTGTCCAAAAAAAACTTTGCGCAAAAAAAGGCAGAAACCTCTGAGAGTCACCTGTGAGGGATCGCTCTTCCAGGACGAACAGAAGTGCAATAGATGATGCTTGTAACAGAGCACATCAAGAAAATAACAATATTTTAAAATATTTGTGGGAAAGGACAGTGTCTATCAAATGTGCAATGAGGCCTAGTGTTGGTGAATCTCAGAGATTTCATCTGTCTGTCTCAGGTATTTCACCTTCCCATATCAGGACATGACTCTGGAGCAGGAGCTGCAGCTGCTGGACCAGCCAGACAAGACCTGTCACTTTCTGGCTCACAATGGTTGGGTGATGGCGGACGATCCTCTGCGCAACTTTGCTGAGCCAGGTGAGAATGGGAGCCTGACATAATTCTTAAACCTATAACATGAACCAATTGATACATCAGTTCATATAAAGCTGCATTTGTGTAACCTGCCGTTAAGCACCTGAGAAGCTCTGGCAGTATGAGCTAAGTTCAGGTTATATGTTGAACTATCGGCACTTAAAGGTTTAATTTTTTTCCCCCAGTACTGACGTGCATCTTTGCTCTGTGTAGGCTCTAACGTGTACCTGCGTCGAGAGCTCGTCTGCTGGGGTGACAGTGTTAAGCTGCGATATGGCAATGGCCCAGAGGACTGTCCGTACCTGTGGGCCCACATGCAGAAATACACTGAAATCACTGCCAAGTATTTCCATGGAGTCAGACTGGACAACTGCCACTCAACACCATTACATGTAGCTGAGGTAATGTCAAATTATTATTATATTATCATAAAGTTCATTCAGAGGCCGCATCCTTTGGATGACCTAGGCTACACAGCCAACGTCAGCTTTGTCGGCTGTGTAGACTGTGTCAGCTGAGCCATCAGCCTGGTCTTCTTATGGCGTTTATCCAGATCAGGGGGCAGATGCTGGATTATTTTCACTTTGAAATTCATTTTTGGAGAGGAATTCATGTACTTTGATGAAAAAAGCCATATTTATTAGATATTTGTGAGTATGTGCAGATTCAAATCAAAATCTGCACCTATTGAATTAAAATGTAGTTTTTTAAAGGGACTGTTGGGTCCTGGAGGAGGTACGCGCTCTGCTGAGAGCCCTTCTAGTTGATTTCCATTACCATGAGGACCTCCTCAAAAAGTTGATGCAGCTTATTGTCAAATTCAATTTTGAGATAAAAAAATAAGTGAATAAATTACTGATGATCAGATTAAGAAGCTGAATGAAAAGTGCTAAAGAGTGGTGAACACAGTCCACAGAATTGAATGGCTGAATTGCATTATTGTAAGTCTGTTGTGTATCGTGAAGGTATTTCTCTTTGTCTATGTGCACTATGTAGGGTCACTGTGTAGGGACACCTGCCTAGTGCTCAGGGATGTTATTAGCTACTGTAAACCATTAAAAATACAATGATGTCAAATTTGTTTACAGTAGAGTCCAGTCTGAGGAAGAGCTTAGTGACATTTACAAAGTCTAGAAACAAAACAAAACTGAATATTACATGGCCACATTCTTATGACATAGCTACAGGAAACAGGTAACAATGCCGCAGACTTACCCAATGCCACTGACTGACATGTTCATGCCAAGGGTGAATTCAAACGAAGAGGAGCATACTAGCTGCTGAAGTGTCATTATCGTGTGTATTTATTGTACTTTTACCATTGGAACAGTTGCATGTTGTAGCTTGAGTTAGGATAGAAATAATCTGAGAAGAAATTGAAAAGAATGTGAGAGGTGAAACTGTTTTTTGTAATTTCCTTTACAGGTAGATGTTTACTGTATGTCAGCATCACCCTTTTGACAGCAGACTCTTCTTCTCTCCCTGTCTGTACTGCCCATGTATTGTCTTGTCCAGGCGATGCTAGATGCAGCCAGAGTGGTCAGACCCAATCTGTATGTGATAGCTGAACTGTTTACAGGAAGCGAGCTCATTGACAATGTGTTTGTTAACCGACTGGGAATTAGCAGCCTTGTACGAGGTATAAAAAACGCCTGCATGAACTAACTTGAAGCTTTTGTCTCTTTCTTCTCTTTTCACTGCATTCATCCGCTCTCTATCCCTCTTTCTCTTCACTCTCACTCCATTCTTGGTCTGTATGACTGCATGGTGTGTTTACTTTGAGCCCTGTCAACACTAACTGGCTATATTTCCCTCAAAAAACTCTCCTCCTCATTCTCCATCTTTCGACATCTTTTTTTTACTTGCCTTCTCTCCCTCCTTTCCCCTTCCCATCCTCCCAACACTGACCCCTTTGTTTGGGCGTGTTGCCTTGCTGTGATTTACTAGTACATGCTGGACGTGGCCAGAACCGTGTCCCCTAACCTGTATGTGGTGGCTGAACTGTTCACCGGCAGTGAGGAGCTGGATAATATCTTTGTTACCAGGCTAGGGATCACATCGCTGATACGAGGTACTGTATGTGTTCGAAGTTCACACACATTATATCCACTATACGTACGTATACAGCGAATTTATATACACATATCTACAAAGTAGATAATTCCATGGTAGGTGTTTATGTTGAGCCTCATTAATATGCAAGTAAATGAATGAATATATGTGGAAGTAAAAATAAATAAACACACATAGAAATGCATAAAAAGCCTTTTCCCTTCAACAAACCATAAATATTTATTTATTTATTGATGTTTTAACTTATTTACTTTTGCATTTATTTAATTATGTATGTATTATTGAGTTGTTTATTTATTTCCTTGTTCATTATACAGGTTCAGGCCTTTAAAGCTGTTGACTGAATGTTTAATCATATAATTCACAGCATTTCTGTGTTCATCAAACTATTCAATGCTCATCTGCATTTGTTTTGTTTGTCATTTATTCAGGTTTTTATAGTTTGTTAATTTTGTCGTCTTCCTGTGTAATTCAACACAATTCCTAGAAATACAAATAAGGACCCACATTCATGTAAAGTGTTGGTACCAAATTGATACTGAAACAATTTAATGTTTTTAAATCAGATTTAAATTAAATCAATTTGTGATGCAGTATTTGATGCACTTTGTTACAGACACATTACTGTAAGCTGGAATCAATAAACTGTTTGAGGTTTGAGGTTTAACGTGTGTTTGCCGGCTCTCACATGCAAAACACCTTCATCAGCTGCTTGGAATGTGGCCAGAATGACACTAACTCAGTCAGTGCTGCAGCAGTGTGGTCAGTGTTGTGTTAACTGCAGTCTCTCCTGTCTCATCATTTCTCTTCTTACCCACCCATCCTGTCCACAGAGGCCATGTCTGCTGGGGACAGCCACGAGGAGGGACGGCTCGTCTATCGCTACGGAGGTGAGCCAGTGGGAGCCTTTGTTCAGCCCAGTCTCCGCCCACTCACGCCCTCCATCGCCCATGCCATGTTCCTTGATGTTACCCATGACAACGAGTGTCCCATACAGGTAGGTGTCTGTCAGGCTCAGATTAGGATGGTGCTGATTAACTGAATGTCCTGATAACTAGTTATAGTTAGCATTATTGTGACATTATTTTTTGTTTAATAAATTATATAAATTAAATTTCATAGTAGTCTTCTTTCTGTTTGGTCTTTGGCTAAAGTCTTTGATAAAGATCCATTTCTGACCTCTCTGTGTTCAGATGTAACAGAATAAACTTCAGGTATATAACTGTTGTGTTTGACTGTGTTTGACAGCTGCGCTCAGCGTTGGACTCTCTGCCCAGTTCTGCTATGGTCTCAATGGCCTGCTGTGCTACTGGCTCCACCAGAGGATATGATGAATTAGTACCACATCAGGTTATTCTAACACACACACACGCACTCACACAGATGTTATATTGTTCACATTATATCTTCCATCTGACCCATAGTCTAAATACATGCAGGTTATGTTGTGAGTCTGTACATTGCCCATAGGTGTGAATGTGAATGGTAAGCTGTGTGTCAGGCCGGTGATAGACGACATGTGCCGGTCCACTGTCAGCGTTATGGTTCGGATCATCAAGGATCACCATCATCTAGGAAGTCTGTGCAAAGATTTGGAACACGTTTGTTGCTTCTGTGGTTTTCTACTCACTGTAAATCTTATAAACTATGTAAAACTGAAAATCAATAATTTAGTCTTAATGGTGTAAAAAATAGTTTGAAACAAAGTCAAGTTCGGAAGATAGAGGAGGCTCAATTCTCTTAGTACTCTGAAAATAGTGAGATGTAATTAAAATTCCAGAAAAAGCTTTAAGATATTGAGTTTACATGTTTTTGGCACTACCTGTTGTCATACTCAACTTTGCATGTTTTGTCAAACACCTAATCATTTATGATATAAAACAGAGTAAAGGTACAAAAAAATTTGAAGCTTCTGACTGTTGATCAAAACTGATGTATAACACATCTGCCCTTGTGTTCACTCTTCTCCAGGAACTAATGAAGAAAAATGAATAATTTAATAGACAATCTTGGTGTGTGTGTGCACGTGTATGTGTGTGTGTGTAGATCTCTGTGGTGAAGGAGGAGCGTTTTTACCCCAAGTGGAACCCCTCTGCCTCCCCCTCCTCCATTGGTGAGGTTGGATTTAAGAGCGGTATCATAGCTGGGAAAGTGGCTCTCAACAAGCTGCACCAGGAGCTGGCTGCACAGGGATTCATGCAGGTGAAGAGCAACAGTGTGCTGTATGAACACAGAGCAAACCAAACATCGGCTTATACTTTAAATGTTGTTGCACTTGCTAATTGTGTTTCTGTGCTACATTTCCTAGAGATGATAAATCAGCAATCATGTTTTCAAAGTTTAATCTCTACACATCTTCCTCATCAGGTGTATGTAGACCAGGTTGATGCAGACATTGTTGCAGTCACTCGTCACTGTCCCAGCACACACCAGTCAGTGGTGGCAGTGTGCAGGACAGCCTTCTGGAACCCCAAAACCCACCAGTACGACGCCAACGTCCCACCCATGTTCATACCTGGTATGACCACAAGATCATCAAATGTATACTTTCTAAAAAGGAATATAAAGATAATGTCATTTTCACTTAGTGGTATTCAATTGCTTTTTCTTCTTTCCTAACATAGCAACAACCAGAAAGATGAAACCAGGTCAAGTGTTATCCACGTTTCCCAACACTGACCATTGTTCTCTTCTTCTCTGTAGGGAAAATAGAGGAAGTGGTGCTGGAGGCGAGGACAGTGGAAAGGCATGCTGGGAGCTATAAGAAGGATGACTCCTACATCAATGGCATGCCAGAGTATACTGTGGAAATAAAAGAACATATACCAGTAAATATCTCCATGGTCATTTTTAGGATTGATTTAACGCTGTGTATTATTCAAATGAATTAATGAAGTGATATTAATTTAATTATTGTAATGTGTTTTTAGTTAGAGGAGAGTGCAGTGGTGAAGCGAGCTGAGGTGACATCAAAAGGTCGATCAGAGTTTGTGCAGGAAATCACCTTTCAGAAGTTGACACCTGGCAGTGTCATTGCCTTCAGGTAAAACACACACACACACACTAACACCCTGGTTTATTATTTAAAGTAAATGTCTTTCTCACTGAACATTCCCTCCCTCTTCTCTGAACAGGATCAGTTTGGACCCCACAGCCCAGAAGATGGTGGGGTTGCTGAGATTTTATCTGTCCCAGTTCAGCCCGAAGTACAGGAGAGGCAGCGTAGCAGATGAACACCCACCCGAAGCATTGCAGAAACCTTTGGCACAGTGAGTACACATGTAGCAAGTGTGAAACGTAAAATAAAAAATAGGAATTGAGCTAATCAGATCTCTGTAGTCTGCTGCCCATCTCTACTGGAAGGTTGTGGGCCATGGATCTGATAATGTTTTCAGATTTCAATACTAGATACCAAATACCACTCATGCACAACACAACACACAAGGTTCTCTGCACAGACACACGCGTTCACAACAGCAAATCTTCCACATTGTTCAGGTGAGAGGAGGAGCAGCCAGGTGCAACAAGCAGAGGCAGGACACCACATTTTCACTGGGAAATTTGTTGTCCTTTTTTTTTTTCTTCTTTTTTTTTCATTTTGTTAGAAGTGTCATCAACCCCCTGACTCGCTTGTGGAGAATCCAAAACTCCTGCTGTTTTCATACATTAAATTCTCCAGACTTTCTATGGACTTTATATCAGGAGGACAGGCTGAGAAAGTCCGCAGATAATCTTGAGCCTCTCACTCTGATATTTGTATTCACACATGCACCTCCTCAGGAGAAAATAGGGAGGATCTGTAGAGTTCAGTGCATGTCTGAAAGCAGCTTAAGACAGGTTAGAAAAAAAATTATAGAAAGTGTCTTTTGGATACTGGAAAGTTTCTGAAGGCACAGAGACTACAGACAGTGTCAATAAGTAGAAAGCAGCACCCATGTACAACAATTAAAGTGGTAAAGCTGTAGGTGGGAACTTTTTTATCTTGAAGTCTTGTGTGTTCCACAGGCTGATGTCCAAGGTGACCTTAGCAGACCTGAATTTCCTGCTGTTTCGCTGTGACTCCGAAGAACAAGAAGATGGTGGAGGCTGTTACAACATCCCAGGATGGGAGACCCTCAAGTATGCTGGACTACAAGGTAGATATGTGATAACATATGAAGCTGCACTGATACAAACCATTTACAGACAGCATCCACAGTAGCTCAGCTATCAGCAAAAACTATCACTACAAATGAGCCTCTGATGATTTAAGCCCTTGTACAATACACATCACACACTATACACACACTAACTCCACATTACAAACATATACAAAACACACGAGGCACCTTATTGAGCAATGTGGAATCTTGCTTTGTGTCTCACACTGGTATTTCTTCCTGTGTGTGACAGGAGTGTAAATGCAGTTGTTGTTGTCTCTCTGCAGGTCTGATATCAGTGTTCGCCGATATCCGCCCCAACAACGACCTGGGCCATCCTGTGTGTGCTAACCTCAGACAGGGAGACTGGCTGATAGAGTTTGTCTCTAACAGAGTGATGAAGAGAGAGGGACCCCTGGCACAAGTGAGCAATTACAGGCTTAAAGGGCCACTTCACCCAAATGCACAGATCATTTTGTTTTTCACTTTTGATGTAATCACCTCTGAGATTTCTGTCTCCAGCCCAATACAATGGAGGCAGATGAGATTTTCTTTGTGCTCAGCAGTAACATGCCTGTCTTGAAACAATGCTGTGGTTATTCTGCAGGTGGGTCAGTGGTTGGCAGCCATGTTTAATTTCCTGAAACACATCCCACGCTACCTCATTCCCTCTTACTTTGACGCCATCCTGGTATCAACCTATACCACAGCCCTGGATGCAACTGACAAACTGATGTCGAGGTGGGAGAGATGATGAAAGTTGTGTCATAGACATTTGGAATTCAAATCTGACACTGTAAGGACTGATGTGTTCAGTGACATCTTGAATAAGTGCATATTCTTGCTGCAAAATGTTTCCCTTCTAGTTTTGTCCAGAATGGCTCCAGCTTTGTTCGACACCTGGCGCTGGGATCGGTTCAGATGTGTGGAGTTGGACACTTACCCGCCCTCCCTCCTCTTTCTGTGAAATTAGAGGATGTTCCCTATCGCATCAGTCCAATCACAGGCCAGAAGGAACAGTGCTGTGTCTCACTGGCTGCAGGTAGCAAAGCACCACACACTTATTAAGCTCATTTCCAGCTCAATATATGTGTTATTCAAAAAACTTTTTTTTTCTCAGTTGTGCCTGTCACATGACCCTCCTCTGGAAGGAAACAATCAGCTATAGCCTCAGATACCAGTGTAGAAGGCAACATGAACAATCTATAAGCATGGCTGACTCAGTTGTCTTTGCTAACAGCAGTTCACTTCTGTATTTTACAATGATACAACTGCGTACATTTGAAAGAGACAAGCTTTTATTTGAGCAATCTGTCACAATTCTGGGAGAAGAGCTGTGAGTGGAGCAGACGACAACAACAACAAGTAGAATAAAACCTCAACATTCAGATCGCTGTGACACATTTTTACATAAATGATTTAAATGTTTTATCGTTTGTTTGAATTGTCCTCAGGTCTTCCTCATTTCTCTTCTGGGATTTTCCGTTGCTGGGGCAGAGACACTTTCATCGCTCTCAGAGGCCTGATGCTGCTCACTGGGAGACACACTGAGGCTCGGTGTGTGACTGCATCAACTGAACTCTTATTGATAACACACTGAGTGATTGATTGTTCTGAATATTAGAGCTAAAACTATTTTTCCAGTGAGATGATCAATAACTGTGCAAAGCCTACAGTAACTATAATGAACCATTTGATCTCATGGTCTCAATAGTAATATCATCCTGGCCTTTGCGGGGACGTTGCGTCATGGTTTGATCCCCAACCTGCTGGGTGAGGGCCGCTGTGCCAGATTCAACTGTCGTGATGCTGTGTGGTGGTGGCTGCAGTGTATCCAGGTAGGCACACAAACGCATGCACACTCGCACACACACAAACACACCATTTGTAGAGATAAAGGAAAACTGTTTTTTTCAGTATATGAATTATTTGATCACTATGACATCATTGGGAAGTTAGTCTCTCTACTTGGTGTGAGGTAATGTTATAAAACTTATTGATGCTGCACTTTGTTCAGGACTACGCTACCCACGTTCCCAAAGGACATAAAATCCTCAGTTGCCCAGTGACACGCATGTACCCTACTGACGACTGTGAACCCCGCAAACCTGGAGAGGTGGTATGTACACACACACACACACACCCACACACTTTGTGTGTCCTTTTTGATGCTACCACACACTACCTTCACACACAGACACAATTAGTGTATTTACATGTTTTTGTTTGTGCTTGTGTGTGTAGGAGCAGCCTCTGTATGAAATCGTCCAGGAGGCTCTGCAGCGCCACCTAGAGGGGATTTCTTTCAGAGAGAGAAATGCTGGACCTAAGATAGACATGCACATGAGAGATGAAGGTAAGACTGTGTGTGCATGTGTGTGTGCGTGTGTGTGTGTGCGCGTGTGTGTGTGCGTGCGTGCGTGGCAGACACATGTTGCACTGAATATATGACTCCCCATGTGCAGCTTTCTACACTTTTCTCAGCTCCAGTAGCTCTGAGGTTTATCGTCTTTTCCAGGCTTCAGCGTTGTTGCAAAGGTGGATCCAGCCACAGGCTTTGTCACTGGAGGAAACCGCTTCAACTGCGGCACATGGATGGACAAAATGGGAGAGAGTGAGAGAGCGAGGAACAAAGGCATGCCTGCTACTCCAAGGTAATACACACCCGAGCCCGACTGACACTGGATCTACAAACCTCTCACCCTTTTTTAACACAGTGTTTTCTCATTGCATGTCATCACAGTTCTATTCTGGATTTTATTCTGAAATTATTGATATATATTATTAGATTTTTTTTTATTCATAGTTCCAGCCTCCAAAATGTGAGGATTTATATATTTTTTACATGAATTGATCATGATTGAGAATCTTGTTTGAACAAAATGAGAGTTGGCTCTTTTTTTCCTCATGTTTAACAGACTAACGTCAACTGGTCTGACTTATTTTCAATGAGAACATAATAAAATGAATCATCAATAAACTTTGAATCGTTTTGTGTGTGACTTTCTCCGTCCAGAGATGGAGCAGCAGTGGAGATAGTTGGTCTCAGTAAGTCAGCTGTTCGCTGGGTCGTGGAGCTCCATGCTAAAGGACTGTTCCCTTATGATGGAGCCAAAGTACATAGAGATGGTACGAGATGTTTGCCTATACACACACACACACACACACACACACATAAACACAGAGACTTCAGAGACGGAACATTTATTCTCCACTGTGTTTCAGGTAAGGAGTTGTTCATCTCGTACTCCCAGTGGAACCAGCAGCTCCAACAGTCCTTTGAAGCAGGTTTCTGGGTGTCTGGGGAACCTATGGACCCCAACGAGAAACACCCTGACCTGGTGCATAAAAAGGGCATCTACAAAGACAGCTACGGGGCCTCCAGCCCCTGGTGTGACTATCAGCTGAGACCCAACTTCACCATCGCCATGGTGGTGGTAGGTTTTTTAAAATTACTGTCTGAACAGAAATGAGGTTATAAACGCATGTTTCCTTTTACTGGTTAATTCACTATATATTTAGTTTGTTGAATGAGTGGATCACTGAGCTGTGATTGGCTGCATGACATTTCTTCGTTTGTAAAGGCTCCGGAGCTGTTCACAGTGGAGAAAGCCTGGAAGGCTCTGGAGGTGGCTGAGAACAAACTCCTGGGACCACTGGGAATGAAGACTCTTGACCCAGAGTAAACGCACACACGCACACAACCACAGCTTTAGCATAGCAGAGTAATGTTCTTGTTTTGTCTCATGATCTCATTTGATAACCTGTCTGTTGTGTATTCAGTGTCATACTCACGCTGTTTGTGTTGTCTCAGTGACATGGTGTACTGTGGCATCTATGACAATGCTCTGGACAATGACAACTACAACGTTGCAAAAGGTTTCAACTACCACCAAGGCCCGGTGAGTGAGACCAGCCTCTGCTGCTTCAGAGAATGACTGTGGAGGACATCCTCTGCACCCAGTCTCCAAAGCTCCTCTTGTTGATTCTGTTCAATTTTATTTGTATAGCGCCAAATCACAGCATACATTATCTCAAGGCACTTTACATAGTAAGGTCGAGACCTAATAATATTTTAGAGAAACCCAACAGTTCCCACAACAAACAGCAACTCCCTTTTAAAAGAAAGAAATCTCTAAAACCGGACTCATTCAGCAGAAAAATGGAGAAGAGAGGAGAGGTGGAGAGAGAGGGGGACAGAGAGAGACCGGTTCTCTAACTGAGTCTGTGTGGGAAAGTTTATTTAGAAAATAGTATTTTACTTCTTTATTGTTCAAATGGTAGAAAGCAGCACAGAGCTGAGAATTTTTACCTGAGCTTTAATTTCCCCTTCATTAATTCATTTCACATTGGTGCTACAGACATTCACATACTGACACTGACAAACTAACCCTGTCCCTGTTTTTGTGTTTCTCGTGCCTGTGTGTGTAGGAGTGGCTGTGGCCAGTAGGCTATTTCCTACGTGCCAAACTCTACTTTGCCAAGAAGCTGGGAAAAGAAACTTATTCTAAAACATTGACCCTGGTGAAGAATGTGCTGTCTCGACATTACACCCACCTGGAGAAGTACGACCATCATCAGTTCACCTCCTCCCTTTGTTTCTCCACTTTGTGTACTTCCTATCATAACCCCCGACCTGTTCTCTGTGTCCCCAGGTCTCCATGGAAGGGTCTGCCAGAACTAACCAATGAGAACGGACAGTACTGCCCGTTCAGCTGTGAGACCCAGGCCTGGTCTCTGGCCACTGTGCTGGAGGTCCTCTTTGACCTCTAAACGACCTCTTCATGGCCATCATGTCACAGCAGAGGTCACTGCAACACAACTGTATGACCTCTGACATCACTTCCTGTGATCAGAGTGGTTACATTTATGTACAGTGGGGAAAAAACCTGTTTTAAATATGACAGAATACTTGGTTTGAAAACTTCAACATCTTTGACTTTTGTCTGAGTTAATGCTTGTAACTTAACAATCAGGCTGAAGCTCCAGTGAGTAGTTGTTAGGTAGGTGGCTCCAATGTTGCACTCAGAGCTTAGTTTTGTGGTATTTTCAGTTCGATTTTAAAACCTGAACTAAACTGTTTGTCCATTTAGAAAACTCTTATTTAGCAGCTTCCACATACATGCAGCATATTTATAGGTCGGGCCAGTGTTTTGAAACAAGTAGCAAGTGTTAATACTCAAAAAAGGTACTTTGGTCACACTGCTGCTCCGTATTAATACCAAGGCTAAATACCTGGTGAGTTTCTTGTCACAGTCTCGACCTGGTAACAGAAACGGAATGTGTAATCTATTCGTTCTGTCCAAAAATGGTTGAGAACTCTGCATTTACTGATCTGGCGTTCTACGGTTCACCTACTCAAAAAGTGAGAAATCCCATCACCTGCTGCTAATGAACCACAAGCTGAACTGGAGAGTCTGTCAGAGTGATCGTCTCTATGACTCTGACACGTGTCACACTGTAGCATCGCCTCTGAACCAGAGCTCAGCTCATGTATCTCTCACTTGACCCACTTCAGGATGTTTATTCATTCTGCATTTTACGAGTGGGATTATTGAGTGCGATATCTGCCTTACTCTTCTTGAACTGAACTGATCTCAGCTCAGTCGTGATGGGATAGTATTTATTATGCATCAAAGCACTTTGACTCTACAGCCAGAAGTGTAACAAAGAGAACATCCTGTTTATTGTACGTGAGCAGGTTCTCTGTTCTGTAGATAGGGAGATCACCCGTCACCTGTCGTCATGTTCCCTCTGTCTGAACTCCCTAAGGTGACTGATCACAAGCTTATTCACTAGGTTGATTAAACCTGTACTTTAAATCTCCACCTCCACCTGATGCCTTTATGCTCATGTAGTAATGATCCCACACAGAAGGTCTTCCAGCTGTTTCCCATTTCACCTGCGCTGTGTTCATCAATCCTCTGTGTATTCACGTGAAAAACTGCTCTGTGCATGACTGTTGTTTTTGGAAACTGTGTGTAACCATGCTAATTCTCACGATGTTGTCTTATAGCTGCAGATGTAACTCATGTTGAATTGTTAGTGACAAAAATCATCAGCATTTCTCTCTGTGAGTGGGTTTGTGTTGAGACACCAGAGGATATACACAACACAAACTGTTACAGCTGTTGTGTAAGTGGTTTAAAGGCCTGCTGAGAAACGAGACTGTGTGTATCTACACTAACATTTGTGTAGTGTTTAAACTGCTCTGTCTCTAACCTGTGTGTTTTAAAATCCTGACTCGGTCACAACACATCTGGTCTCTTTGAATTCTTTGAAAGCTTAAAGGTACAGTGTGTAGAATTTTGTGATATCTAGTGTTGAAGTTGCATGTTGCAGCTGAACACCCCTCACCTCACCCTCTGTGGCAGCCTTTAATTGTCATAAAAACTCAAAAGGTGTTTAGTTTGTCCAGTCTGGACTAATGTAAAAAACATGGCGGCCTCCGTAGAGAGGGTCCCCTCAATGTTAATATAAAGTATTTAAATATAAAGGGTCTTTTCTAGGGGTAAAGAAAACTAAAATTCATACAATTTAGATGGAATGAACTAGTGAAAACATCATGAGGATTATTCTACATTAAATTTCTGTCAATAGATCCCTTTCACCTAAATCTTTCACACTGGACCTTTAAATGGAATCTTGATTTTCTACTTTTTGTATGAATTTATTTTCTATAGATGCACATGAAATCACAGGTATACATGTGATACAGCAGAAGAACACTAAGCACTGAAAGAGTCAGGTTTGGATGGATATGAAAGAACAGCTGTTTCTCTGTGGGGCCTCTACCTTCACCTTTAGTTTACCTCCCTCCAAACATTTCAAACACAGATGAGTGAGCGCGTTTCGTTTTTTGGCCACTCACAAATAAGTAGACCTGCGCCCACACATGCATTTACATACACATGTGGGGCAACTACAAATCAATACAGTTAAAAATAATATAACAAATAAAAAAAATTCAATTCTATTTTATTTATATAGCGCCAAATCATAATATACATTATCTCAAGGCACTTTAGATAGAAACACAACAGTTCCCACAATGAGCAGCACTTTGGAGACTGGAGAGAAAAACTCCCTCATTAACAGGGAGAAACCTCAAGAACCAGACTCAGTGTGGGCCGTCATGGGGAGGAAAGGGGAGATGGGTGGAGAAGAGAGACATAGCGGGGAGGGGGAGAGAGAGGCTGGAGAGACCAGCAACATCAGGTATCAGCTCTGACTAGTTAAAAACAATAACAGTGTAAAGAAGTTATTGGTAACAGCAACAATTCATATAATAATTAATTACTTGGTATTGTTGTTCATAACTAGAAAATCTCTTCTGCCGAGACATTTTGAATGGGTGCCCTTTTGACGCCACTCCGCACAGAGAGACATTTCCTTTAAGGGGAAGGACAGAGACACATGACATCCATCTTGGTGACAGAGACTGTATGTACCAATTTCAGAGAGAGAGAGAAACCATGTTGTAAGGTCTTATCACCATCTATGGGATTTCATAGCCTTTTTTAGTCTTCCATGGAACATCCTGTAACTCTCTTTTCTACATCAAATAGCTTTTCGGTAGTGAAGCTAGAATGTCTGTGTATGAAGTTGTTCTGATGTTGAAAAAATAGCTTTGATGTAGTTAAGCTACTTTTGTCATTTTAATGTAACTTAGCTTGCTACATTTCTCTGGTGGGTAGCTTCAGTGTAGTGAAGCTTCATTTAATGTAGAATAACTTCTATTTTAGCTCACTACAATTTCCAAGTAGCTTGCCCAACACTGGTCCTGCAACACCTTCACTTCACCTCCCAATAAAGCAGCATCCAATGAAAGATCGTCCTCATCATTTACAAAGCTCTCAATAATCTTGTAAAGTGTCTGTGAGTTTTGAAGTGCTGATAAATAAAATGTATTACTGTAGAACCTCAACAATGCAGAGGTTTTTTWWAAACTTATATTTAATGCCAAAGAGATTATTTGATTATTTTCATTCATTATTTTCATGTGTGTTGAAAGGCAGCAACTGTTTTTAAAAAACACCAACAATGAAAGATTTAGGGGAAAATCCATACTCATGATAATTGTGAAACTAAGATTTTTTCTCTATAACCATGTCATCAAAATTGATTGTTGTTACACTGCAAATTGTCACACTATTCATGTCATGCATCAATATATTTTTGTCAGGTGATGGATAGTAGAGATGCAGAAGGAGATGCTGAAGGAGGTAGAGCAGGAGAGGCTGGAGGAGAGGGAGGAGGTAGAGGAGGAGAAGCTGGAGGAGAGGGAGGAGGTAGAGGAGGAGAAGCTGGAGGAGAGGGAGGAGGTAGAGGAGGAGAAGCTGGAGGAGGTAGAGGAGGAGAAGCTGGAGGAGATGAAGGAGAAGAGGCTGGAGGAGGGAGAGGAGGAGGAGATGGGGGAGGAGAGGCTGGAGGAGGAGAAGCTGGAGGAGATGGGGGAGGAGAGGCTGGAGGAGGAGAAGCTGGAGGAGATGGGGGAGGAGAGGCTGGAGGAGGGAGAGGAGGAGATAGGGGAGGAGAGGCTGGAGGAGGTAGAGGAGGAGAGGCTGGAGGCTCACAGGTGAGGTTGAAAGAATGAACATTAGTCATG